GCTCCCCTGTCAAAAGACATAGGCTGATAGCTGAGTGTGGTGGCACACACCTTTGATCCCAGCACCTTTAATCCCAGGCAGAGGCAGGTGGAGCTCTGTGAGTTCAAGGCCAGCCCGGTCTACATAGTGAGTTTCAGGCCAGCTGGGGCTACATGGAAACCCTGTCTCAAAAAAACAAAAAAAAAAAAAAAAAGACACAGGCTAGTGCAATGGATCAAGAAAGAAAACCCATCTTTTGTTGCCTTCAAGAAACTCATCTCACCTTCAAGGATAGACACTATCTTAGGGTGAAAGGATATTTCAAATATTGAAAAATATTTCAAGAAAATGGCCCTAAGAAACAAGCAGGTGTTGCAATTTTAATATTTGACAAATAGACTTCAAATTAAAACTCATCAGATGAGATAAGGAGGGTTACTTCATTCTAATCAAAGGAACAATTGACCAAGAAGATATTATAATCATGAACATTTATGCACCAAACTCTGGAGCACCCAATTTCATAAAATCAGTAGTACAGGACCATAAAACAGGGATTGGCACCAACTCAGTGATAGCAGGTGACTTTAATACCCCACTTTCTTCAGTAGACAGGTCAAATGGACAAAGAATAAACAGAAAGACATCTGAATTAAATGACATACTATTATGAAATGTACCTTATAGATATATACAGAATATTCCACCCAACCATCAAAGAATATACTTTCTACTCAGCATCCCATGCAAGTTATTCTAAAATTGGCCACATTCTGGGGCACAAAACAAATCTCAATAAATACAAAAAAAAAAAGAAAGAAATAATTCCATGCCTCTTATCAGACCACAGTGCAATAAAGCTTATAAGCAACAGCAAAAGAAGCTCTAGTAAATAAATACACAAGCTCATGGAGATTAAACAACACACTCCTGAATCATGAATGGGTCAAATAAGAAATTAAGAAAGAAATTAATGTATTCCTGGAAGAAAATGAAAATGAGAACACAACAAAACCTCTGAGACAACCTAAAAGCAGTCCTAAAAGGTAAGTTTATAGCTCTTAGTGCCTACATTAAAAAATCAGAAAGAGCACATGTAAATGACTAAACAATACAATTCAAGACTCTGGAAAGGCAAGAACAAACCAACCCAAAATCTAGTAGATGAGAAGAAATAACAAAACTCAGAACAGAAATTAATGAAATATAAGCAAAGAAAATAATAATAATAAAAATCAATGAATCTAAGAGCTGTTTCTTTGAAAGATTAAACAAAATAGACAGACCCTTAGCTCAGTTAACCTAAAGAAAGAAAGAGCAAATCCAAATTCACAAAATCAGAGATGAAAGGGGAAACATCACAACAAACACCAAAAAATCCAAAACATAGTAAGGGAATACTTTAAAAAATCTATACTCCATTAAAGTTGAAAGCCTAAAGAAATGGACAAATTCCTAAAATCATGGCCACAACCAAAGTTAAGCCAAGAGAAGATCAACAGCCTAAACAGACCCATAACAAAAGGAAATTGAAACACTAATACAAAATCTCCCAACTAAAAAAATTCACAGCTGAATTCTACCAGAATTCAGATTCAAAAAAGTCTACAACAATACTGCTTAAATTATTCAAAAAGTTAGAAACAGAGGGAGAACTTCCAAATTCCTAATATGAAGCCATTATCACTCTAATACCAAAACTAGGCAAAGATATGACAAAAAAAGAAAACTATAGTCCCATATCCTTAACATAGATGCAAAGATATTCAAAATACTTGCAAACCACATATAGACACACACCAAAATGATCATCCGCCAGGATCAAGTTGGCTTTATTCTAGGGATGCAGAGATGGTTCAACATACCTAAGTCAATAAATGTAATAAAACATGTAAGTGGACTTAAAGACAAAAACCACATGGTCACCTGTGCATGATGCAGAAAAGGCATTTGACAAAATCCAACATGCATTCATGTTAAAAATCCTAGAAGGAGTCCATCTGGAGGGAACATACCGCAACATAATTAAAGCTGTATGCAACAAATCCACAGCCAACATCATCCTAAATGGAGAAAAACTGGAAGCATTCCCATTGAATCAGGAACCAGACAGGGCTGTCCACTAGCTCCACTCCTTTTCAATATAGTGCTTGAAACCCTTGCTATAGCAATAAGACAAGAGAAGGAAATTAAAGGAGTTCCAATTGGAAAAGAAGAGGTCAAATTATTTCTATTTGCAGATGCTATACATATGAAATCCCAAAAATTCCACTAAAAAACTGTTAGAATTGATTAATGCTTTCAGTAAAGTGGCAGGATACAAAATCAACTTACAAAAGTCAGTAGCTTTTCTATATACCAATAACAAGCAATCAGAAAAAGCACTTGAGGAAACCCTCCCATTCTCAATGGCCTTAAAAAAATAAAATATTTCAGAATAAACCTAACCAAAGACACTAAAGATCTCTACAATGAAAAATTTCAAAACTCTAAAAAAAAGAGATAGAGGGAGACACTAGGAGATGGAAAGCTCTGCCGTGCTCATGGACTGGTAGAATCAATATTTTGAAAATGACCATCTTACCAAAAGCAATTTATAGATTCAATGCAATCCTAATCCAAATACCCATGACATTCTTCACAGAGCTTGACAAAACAATCTTAAAATTCATATGGAATCACAAAAGACCCTGGATAGCCAAAACAATCATGGGCAAAAAGAGCAATGCTGAGGGATCACCATACTAGATCTCAGATTATATTACAGACCTATAGTCATAAAAACAGCATGGTACTGGCACAAAAATAGACACATAGATCAATGGAAAACAATAGAAAACCCAAACATGAGTTCATATAATTTCAGCCACCTGATATTCAACAAAGGTGCTAAGAACACACAATGGAGGAAAGATAGCATCTTCAACAAATGGTGCTGGCAAAAGTGGATCTCCACCTGCAGAAAAATGAAAATTTTCACCTGCAGAAAAATGAAACTTGACCCTTATCTTTCACCCTGCACAAAAGTCAACTCCAAATGGATCAAAGACCTCAACATAAAACCTGAAACTCAGAAACTGATAGAAGAAAACATAGGCAGAACCCTCCAAAACATAGGCGTAAGAAATTAATTTCTAAATCAGACACCAGCTAGTGGGGGGAGGGTGAGGATAATGGGGGCACTGTGACTAGGGAAGGAAGGCAGAGGGAGGCTGGATGGGAGGAAAAAGAGTGGAGATGAGTGAATCTCGGGAGGTGGGGGGAGCTAGGAAACTTAGAGGGAAATGTGATGCCTTAGAAACCCTATGAGAAATGTACATAGAGTGTCTGAACATTAATGTATAAGTATTTCTAGGAGCTGCTTGGCAGGGAACACAGAGCCAGATAGAAGAGACCTCCCTTAGATCAACAAACATGCCATACAGCACTCATCAAAGAGGCTTCTTTTTGCAACAGATGGAGGCTACTGCAGAGTTGCACATCTGGTCAGGCACAGAGAGCAATACTAGGTGACACTTCTGCAGTTGAATCTCTACAATTAAGACTCATGGAACGTAGTGGAATGAGGTATAGGGAGAGGGCTAATGCACCCCTCAACTCTCACCAGTGAGGCTTCCATAGTGATGCACACAGAAGGCCACAACTGACCAAGTTTTGGAGAATAAGAGACTGTAGAGTGTAGGATGGGACTCCTATATGGAACCTCACCCACCCACAGCTCACAGACCATTGCAGAAGAGGAGGCAGAAAGATTGTAAGACCCAGGGCTGGTTCATGATCATAAGGAGGTGGAGGCTCCCAGGCCACTGGAGGCTTGCTCGTGTGAGCCTGTGGCAGTGGTGGCATAGAGTGTGGGACCCATGTCAGCTCAATAAAAAAGAGCCCAAAGGGGAGATGAAAAATAGGTGATGGATCAGCACTAGATTGAGAACTGAAACTGATGGCTGCTGGGCAAGGGAGAGTACGACTTACCTACGACCACTGGGTGGGCTGACTAGACTCCAATGGATGCATTAACACTGAAGGACATTTGGGTACAAACACCTGAATGACTAGGACTCAGCATGTATGGCTGAGTGCACAGAGTTCGGTGGAGGTATAGGGGGAGGCATGGATTGGGGAGGGGGTCTGGATTTGAGTGAGAGATGTTGTATGAAATTTTAAAAGATCAATAAAAATAAATAAATAAATAAATAAATAAATATATCCAAAATATTTTTAAAGGAGAGCCAGGCCAGCACACCTTTGGTCCCAGCACTTGGGAGGCTGAGGCAGGCAGATCTCTGAGTTCAAGACCAGCCTGGCCTACATAGAGAGTTCCAGTTCAGTTGACACTACAGAGACACCATGACTCAAAAAAAAAAAAAGAAATTAAAGGGAAAAAGCCCCCCCCCCAAAAAAAACTTCCTGGCTATCCTCTTGTAGATATTTAAGTTTGTAGCCCCTGCAAGAATCACAGTCAATTTCTCCAACCAGATACATAGAAATAGTTTGGTTTGTAAACTGGTTTTTGTTTTTGTTTTTGAGACACAATTTCTCTATGTAGCTCAGGCTAGTCTAGAACTCTATGTAGCCCAGATTAACCCTTAAACTTGCCATCCTCCTGCCTTAGCCTCCTGAGTACTGGGATTACAAGTATATGCCTGCCTGGACAAATTTGTTTTTGTTTTTCTGTTTTCAGTGCTATTGGATCAAACCCAGGTTCTCATGAATGCCAGGTAAATGTTCAATCCCTGAGTCCTCCCCATTTATGGATAGATAAACTGTGGTAGAAGATGTGCAGGGTTAAGGGCTAAAGAGTGCCAAAAGGTTCCTAAGAGGAAAAACTAGAAAATAAACTTGTTCTTTTTCCCTTCCTCTCCCTCCTCCAGCTCTCCTATGATGACCAGACACAGTGAAGAAGAGATGGACAATTTATTCCACATCACCTGAGCCACAGAAAAGGTCACACGGAAGAAGAGGAGTGAAAAGCTGGCTCCAAATCCTCCTTTTGCTCATTCCTTGTCATGATGAGGACTAGCCTAGCCAATGGTTAATGGGTAGGGTGTTAAGAGGCCTTTATCTAAATCTAACGGCCTTTGGTTATCCATTGGGTTAGGGTCCAGGATGTCTTCTTTGCTGGTGGAGATTCTTCTGTTGAGACAGAACTGCTGCAACAGCTGGGGATGGAAGAGGAGCTCTTCATAATCAGCCTCCAGAGGTTTCTGTGGTTGAGGTAGCAAAGGATCCCTGAAGAAAATAAACAAGGAGAAGTGAAAAGTGGAGAGTGGGATAGAGGATGACGGGCAAAATGGGCCAAAGGGAAGGTAGGTCCTATGGACTCTCAGGGGGTTGGTCGCCTGTCTCTTCCCTCCACACTTTCTCTGCCCTGACCTACCCAGGTCCCTTCCTTTCCCAGGAACCTCCTAGCCACTCACCACAGGTGACATACCGGATAAATGCCAGCCAACGAATGAAATAGCTCCAGCCGATGGGGATGGATACATTTCTCTTCAACTCATACATCCAGAGGTTAACAGGGAACAACAGGAGGGTGAAGAAAATGAAGGTGACTGAGAGGCAGGAGTGGAGAGACCTTATTCTCATCTAAGAATCACTCAGTAATTCTGCCCTGTCTACTGAGCTACAGCCACATACCACACACAGAGTTCTCAGCCCCATAGGCTCAAGAAATCCACCCTTCCATGTCTCCAGCAACCAGGAAATAGTGTAACCACTCTCACTTCTCTCCTCCCACCATCCCAAACCCTCACTCCATCCCCAAAGAAGAGGAAGAAGTGCCCAGGAAGATGTGGGTTAGGGAATTAAGGATCTTCTTCAGAGCTTGGAGGGGCACCTTCACAGAAGCTCAGGATGGTCCCAATCAAGCCAAAGGCAGGCAATCTCTGCAGACCGGGCAGGTATGACAGGTGCAGCCAGGCGGTGAGGGTAAGACCCAGACCCAGGGCCAGGGTGAAACTTATCTTAGCCACCCCAAAAGCTGGATGAGTTGTCCACAGCTTAACAGGGTCTGAGTGATAGAATCAAACTAAAGCCCCCCCAGGTTAAAGTAGATTTAACCAAATCCCCCAGACTAAAGAAGAATATTCAGAACAAGGAAGTAAGAAGTAAAATAATTCTAACTACTGAGAAAGAGCTGACGTTTTCATGCTCCGGACATCACCAGAGACTCCCCCTCCCACTACTGCTGGTTGCTGCCAGCCCCCTATTGCTGGTTGCTGCCGGCCCCCTCCCACTGCTGCCACTTGCTGCCGGCCCCCTCCCACTGCTGCCAGTTGTGGTTTGTGGTTTTTGCCTTTAAAAGTCACCTGTAAGCTGAGCTCGGGGCTGCTGCTGCTTCTCTCTCTCTCT